AGATCGAAATCAGGGGGGGAGAAGAAACCGTCAGAGTTTCTTCTCGCACCTTTTCTTTTTCGGCTCGTGAGACACACTCGACTTCCCAGTGGACGCGACACACGATCGTTATGGTGCGACGTTTCGGTTAAATTTTTTCTAATCGACGCTCAAATAGATACGATTATTCGAGAATTGCACTTCGTTTTTATTGTTATCGATTATTATCGACACGATAGGTATTACTGTTGATATGTTAGATCGATCGCTAGATTATTGGAATTATTGAAATTATGCGAATATCTCTTTGATTTTTGAATGCATTTCATTAACGAAGCAATTCTCTCTAATTTTTCTTCAGATTGTATATAAAAATCGACAATTTGGGAAAGGGAGATACGGTTATTCAAGCCTTGCACTTCGTTTTTATTGTTATCGATTATTATCGATACGTTAGATATTACTATCGATACGTCAGATCGACCTCTAGATTATTAGAATTATTGAAATTATACGAATATCTCTGTGATTTTTGAATGCATGTCATTAACGAAGCAATTCTCCCTAATTTTCCTTCAGATTGTACATAAAAAGAGGTGATACGATTATTCGAGGCTTGCACTTCGTTTTTATAGTTACCGATTGTCAACTACTATAAAAGCGAGCGGCGAGATTCGAATAATCGTCTCTCCTCTTCCCAAATTGTCCACTTTAGTTCGCAAGCCGAGGGACAATTGGAGAGAATTTACCGCAGTTACAAGTTTAAATAGGATTCTAAATTAGATCAATTCCACATCGAACACAGATCCAACATAGTTCCAGATCTTATAGATCCAATAGAAATTGTAGTCCAGAATTAACCCAGGTTTTTCCCAAACTATACCCAAGCTTAGATCATAATTCCAACACGTCGACTCTAAAAGCATTATTTTTCGAAATCTAATCGCCAAAACCTTGCAGTTTTTCGTACCCTAATCATTAGTTAAACTAAACCCATTCTAAGTCCAATCCAGGAAAATGTTGTTATAAGAAATTTATTCGGTAACTTTTTTATAACGCATGTTTCCAGATATTTCCGTAAATTTCGTGAAATCCAACACATGTGCAATTCTTCCGGATGCCTGTTCATTCGACTCCTTCATTCAGTAAATTTCTGAGAAGATTGAGAAGATCTCAGACATCCGTAACATTTTTGCAAGGTTAATAAGAGGATAACCGGGTAAACCAACGCTGTTGCGTCTCGCAGAACACATTTCTCAGATCATCGGATAACATTTCATCTATTGTTACGTTCACACATGTTAGTCTGACCAATTCTGCATTATTTTATCGCGCGACAGATACGCGACGAAAATACAAAAACAATTTACAAAATCCGGACGAAAGTCCTGGATAAATTTCACCGTGTCGATCTTAAAAACTCTCCGCGACCAAATCTCTGTCAAAATTCGAACGAAACGCGCGTGATAACATTTAAAAGGCCGAAAAAGAAGATACATATGCCAAGAAATGCGTAAACCCGTAGAATGAAACGAGACTCGAAGATCGCAAATTAACGCTTAGCCAACCGAATGGGGAGATCTCCCCGTTTTAAATTCCGTCGATTGACGATCGAATGGATGATTAATGAAAAATTAAAACTGATCGCTTAATTTTATTAAGATTTGCACGAGGTACGAATGCTGAAGAAGTAATCGATGCCGTATAAGTTTGCTTCGTAATTTTTGTTCAATAGAATGAAATATTTTAATTTTATGAACATTTTTGCGGTCTCTAGCGCGGTCGTGGAAGTGTTAAAAACGAAAAAAAAAGAAAGAAAAGAAACGTGGCGCGTACGGTTTATATACTTAACACGAATCCGGATTACATATTTCGCGTTCTTTGACAGAGAAGGCTTTCGCTATCACGGTAGGATTCGAACGATCAATTCCAACAATCGATCGCGATCAAATCGTTGGGACTTATCTCGAGCGAAAATAAAAGATCGAACGTTAAACTATATGTTCATCGATCAGCGCCCCATCGAGCATCGGGAATTCATCGTGCACAAACATACATAGATTTTGTAATGTTATTTAACGAGAACAGGAATCACCGGGAAAAATTAGAAACGAATTAAGAATCTCATTAAGCCGCCCGTGGTGGTTTCTTGTGCTTCGCCTGCCGGCGAAACGCAGTAAACGCGCAAGATGCATAAAATCTTTGCCCTAATAACAAGCCAATCATGTTCAACGAGGGTCTCGATATTTGTGTAACGGTTGAAGCAATCAGCGTCGAATTATGAGATCAACATCTCGGAGAAATTTTTCAGAAGGGAGGAGGGGTGGGGAGGACGGAGAGAGGGACCACAAGACAATTGCACGTAATCATGTCATTACAATTATTTTCTAATTAAGAAACTGGCTCGGCGATCCTCCCGTTGGGCGCGGTTCGCGGAAAGGTGAAAGAATGATCATTCTGAAACGCAAGAGGATATCCCCGGCTCTCTCTCTCTCTCTCTCTCTCTCTCTCTCTCAATCTCCCTCTCAATCTCTTTCTCTCTCCCTCTCAATCTCTCTCTCTCTCTCTCTCTCAATCTCTTTCTCTCTCTCTCTCAATCTCTTTCTCTCTCCCTCTCAATCTCTCTCTCTCTCCCTCTCAATCTCTTTCTCTCTCTTCCAATCTCTCTCTCCCTCTCTCTCCCTCTCAATCTCTTTCTCTCCCTCAATCTCTCTCTCTCTCTCTCTCTCTCTCTCTCTCTCTCTCTCCAGCGGTACGTATCGCTTTACGAAATTTTCGATTTGGTCTCGTTTGAAAGCGCGAGCGCGCGCGCGCACCCGCCCGAGCAACAGTTTCTCGTGGCTCGTTTTCTCCCGGTAGTTAATTTGTTTTCCGAGCCGATTTGTATCTCGGATTGAATTCCTACCCCGTGATAATTATACGATTGGTTTCTATCCAGGCAGGATGGTAATTTACGGTCGCGCAACTATAAAATTTATTTCAATCCGAGCGAGATAGTAGTCGGGGGCCCCGGGTGGTGTGCCTCGTCGATGCAAGGATTTATCCGCGGGACCGTGTAACGTAAACTCTCGGGGCACCGATATTCGGGGCGGGGTGAGGGGGGCGGGAGGGAGGGGACCGTCGCGCCGGAAAAAGAGCGCGGCTGATAACTTTCTTCCCTCCTCATCGTTCTGGAAGCCAAATAAACACACGCGGGGAGCATATAAGCTCTCGGTTGATTCGGCCTCGACGCTTAGTCACTCGCTCTCTCGCTCTCTCTCTCTGTCTCTCTCCTCTACTAATTTTCCCTATAAAGGTCTCCCGATGATTGATGAGGCATTAGAGATACACATGGCCGTCCCGACGAAGGCGGCGACACGCGAGAACCACAACAAAGCGACGCATCTCTCGCTGCTATCTGACGCGTGGAAACGTTATGCGCGAAGACCAGACACGACGCGCGCGTATCGTTATCACCGGGAAACGACGCTTTAAGTCGATTTATATCCCGAACTCTCGAGGCCGCCCGTTAACGGGGCCCGACGTGATCTCGCACGCGCGCGCGCGCTCGCGCCGTTAATCGATCGTTCTAGCGCGCACCGGGCGCCCGATGAGAAAACGGGCGCCCCCGAGACGCGCGTTTTTCGGGCACCGGGCGAGATTAAATATCCGGCTCGGACCGGGTATATAGACCGCTGATAAATTGCGTCAAGCTTTCGCGCGTATGTCGAAACAATGACGCGAACGGAACGCCGATCCGGAGACAAGTTTTATCGAACTTTTCGAGAACGGACGCGAGAGCGCGGCTCTCTTTATCCTTCGACGCCGCGTTTGCCGCGGCGTTAACGAAATTGTTGCTATTCTGTGCCGAAGGAGCTGCCACTCCGTTGATTAATAGCGCGATTAATAGCGAGCAGCGACGAAACAATTAGTTCGGCGAGATCCGACGGGAATTTGTTTCGTCGTCGTTCGGTCGTCGAGCTTAAATTTCGGCGCTGGATCATCGATCGAACGCGAACGGAGAAGACGCATCGATTCGTCGAATCGACGGCATTAATTTCGACCTCAGAATTCGATTGAAGCGCGACGCTCGGTCGAATCTCCGTTAAAAATTGGACGTTCGAGTCGCCGAACGTCGTTTTTCTCTTTCGGCGCGGATCTTCGCGCAGCGGATTGCGCGAAAAACGATCGCCGACATGAAGAAAGACCGCCGGTAATGCTGTAAGCAGTGTAACGTACGAAACGCGTCGCACGGCGAAGAAATAGCGGCGATTATAACGAGCGATTACACGGATAGAAAGCCGCGGATTCGACGGAAGGTGGCCGCCGCGTCGACGCTAGAAGCCGCGGCGGCGGCGGCTTGATAAAACGCGACGGACGCGTCGCAACCAGTCCGTCCGTCAGCCGCGCGTCGAGAAAAAATGCAAACAAACGGCGGGAGAAAATGGTATAATTGTCGCGCGGCCAAAGAGAGGAGGAGGCCCGAGAGAGGAGCGCGCGCTGTCTGGAACAGCGAAAGGAATCCTCACGTGTCACTGCATCATTATGTACATTACGGCAAAACTTGCTGTTAGCTTCACCTTGCCGTTAGTTCTTTCCTGCAATTGATTCCACGAAATCCTCGCGATGGGAATAAATGGCAATTACGTTGGCGCGGTGGAAACAAACACGAACGCGACTCTCTCGTCGGCACGGGAAAAAAAAGAAAAGGACGCGCCGAGAGATTCTTTGCAAAATACCGTTCGGGGAGCACGGACGGAAATAAAATCGGCCGCGGCCCGTTCTCGATCCGGGGAAAACGAGATCGCGGAAGATGTCGAAGTCGAGGTGGAAGTAGAAGAAGTAGAAATAGAAGACGAAATAGACGAAGAAGAAGAAGAAGAAATAGAAGTAGAAATAGAACAAGTACAAGTAGAAGTAGAAGAGTGGAAGGAGAAGAACGGCGTGCGCGACAGAAAGAGACGCGTAGACGTTGGCCTAAAGCTACGGAAACGTGTAAAAACTATAGCGAAAGTGGGTAGGATTAAACAATGTACACACACCGCCTTAGTGTGGCGAGGGCGAAAGCTCCGGCCACCAGCAGCTCGAAGATCATCTCTTCCTCGTACTCCTGCAGGAGAGTCCTCGGCGTCTGCCGTCGATTCCGCTCGCTCTCGCATCCACTCGCGCACTTTCAGTTCGCGAAAAATGATCGGAGATTTTCCTGGTGGCGTCGTCCGGTCCCCTCGGGTCTCCAGGAATCGGCGGCGATCTCGTTCTCGAGCACCGCGGGTCGAAAGCGACGGACGTCGAACAAGGCCCGGCCGGAAAATTCTCTCTCTTTCTCTCTCTCTCTCTCTCTCAGATCGATGTCAACGTGACGTAACAGCGCACCAGGAATCTCCACATCGTGCGAGCGAGCCTGCGAGTCCCCTTCGGCCGGTCCCGGGGAACGATTCGATTGTTTCAGCCCCTCGAGCTCCACTGTCGACGACAACACCACTGTTCGAATGACGCGCGTCCGCGAATTAGGCGAGGAGCCGCGTTAGTTGACATTCGAAATAGCAAGGTGTCCCTGTTACGGGGCCCTCCGGGGCCTGTGCTGCGACTTCCGAGCGGGAGAACCGATGCGGTTGACCATTCGGCTTGCCGATCTCGTGGTGACTGAGTGGGTCCTCGGTCGCGGCTCCCAGTTACTCACTCGGGCTCACGGACTTACTACTCACCTCGTCCTCTCGCTGTTGCATGCTCTCGCTCACCGGCACTCTCGGTCCCACCTCCTTCCCTCCTGCCTGCACCTCCTACGACACCACACCTCCTCCTTCCCGGCTCGGCTCGGGCTCGGGCTCGACTCGATTCTACTCCTCCGGCTACCTCTCGGTCTTCCCCGCCCTCCCCCACCGGACCGCGCGCACACACCACCCTCGCCGAACCTTGCCACTCTGTGCCGTGCGCTCTGCGTGGGAGATAGATACGCGTCCTCCGGCCCCCCCCTGTGCCCGCCGATTATTTCGTTACGGCCACCGCTAACCCCAGATTGGCCCCCCACCACAGAGAAGAGCTTTCTCCAAATTCCCCACCACCACCGCCGCCACTTTTCCGCAATTTTCTCTTTTCTAAACTCGTCGCCGGACGCAACGACATGGCGCGCGCCTCTTCGCGATCGTCTTGACGACGATCCTCGGTTCGTTTATTGTTTAGAGATTGTCGCGAATTTATAGGTTTAACGCGCAAAAGGAAGTATATAGATCCGGGGTACAATTCGTACTTCGTTTCGGAATTTTGGATTTTGTACGAGATTCCGATGGAAGATGTAGACAAATTTTGTTCGCAGCTTCGTGGAGTTCGTAGAATGTTTTTGTAGAATTTTTGTAGAATTTATAGGTTAGTTTACGAATTCGTTTTTAGGGAAATGGGGAATCGTATAAAAATATGTCCAACGATATTTGGAACGTGCGATTCGGCTGAGAAATGCAAAAATTATGTTTCTTCCACTTTTTAGCGCCTTCCTGCAATTTTGTACTATATCGTGTGTTCTTCAAAGTATTGAAATATTAAATGGTCCACTTTGGGGGTTCAGTGTAATATATTTATTATATATCGTAATATATTTATTGCCATGTTACTTCGTCATTTTGCTAAGCGTGCTCGAGTATTTAATAAAAAGTAAAATAAAATAAATATACAATATATATATATATATATATATATTGTACATTTATTGTATATTTATTTTACTTATTTTATTATATTATATTATACTTATTTTATTTATTTATATTGTATAATACATATATATAATATTATATATAACAGTATATAATATATATATATATATATATATATATATATGTGTTATGCTACTATTATGTTACTTTTTATACTATACTATATTATGTTACTTTGTCATTTTACTAGCAATTAAACCCCCATTCCGTCTTCCAAAGCGCATCTTTCAAATTACTACATTCGCCCGAAGCGTTTGTATCTCAAATTTGAAAGAAAAAAAGTCTTCCTTCCCCATTACAATTGCGTGTACAGTAATGTCTCTCTAATTGAATGCTCAGATTGTCCACAAAAATGGACAGTTTGGCAAGAGGAGATACGATTCTTCGAGTCTTACAACTCGTTTTCATAATCGTCGACAATTGATAACTATAAAAACGAATCGCAAAATCCCAAATTGTCCATTTTTATGCACAATCTGAGCGTCAGTTGGGTAGACATTGCTGTACCTCGAAAACAATAGCACCCCGAAACTCGCCGAGCCTCGAGAACTCGCTGTAAAACGCAAATGCGCAACTTTCCATCCACCTGTCATTTTTTTCATCGATGAGTAAGCCGAGTTAGAATATCGGATTAAACGAGCGATAACGTCGTGAGAATCCGTTGACGACGACAGAAAGTCGGGGAATCGGTTTATGGCATGATTTTAATCTTCAATCAAGTTTGACTCATCATCGAATTTACTGCCAACGTTACCGTCGTCGATGTTCCCGTGAAAAAAAAGAAAAGAAAAGAAAAAGAAACGAACGTCACGGACGTCTCTCTCGTTCGGTAATATTCCAAACAAAGAGATTCCGAACAAGTCGAAAATCGTTGCGTTCGATTAATTAGCCAGAACGATAAATTCCAAATCAGTTGCGATCGTCGCGTAATTCTTTTTTTTTCGATCGACATCAGGCGCCATTGAACAACGTTCGTTCGTAATAATATTGACTGATAGAGGCCAGACGAAGCCGAGAGCCGCGAATACTTGACGCTTTATCCGTGCATCGGACGGGGACAGAAGGTTTGAAAACAACGATGACATCTCTCGAGGAGGGAAGATACGGTCTCGCGTACGTCACTGATAAGACGTTACGTCGACGATTAGGTGCGTCGCGCGACGCATTTAACTGGTTGCGGGGAACTCCATACCTACGTTGCTATGTGCCTGACAGCTGACGATATCGTACAGTTTACTGTGTGCGAAAGACTCGACGTGCCTCGTTTTTCCCTTAAACAGGTCTCTCGACGAATTTATAATATACACGGTAATGTCTGTCCAATTGACGCTCGGATTGTCCACGAAAATGCGACAATTTGGGGAGAGGAGATACGATTGTTCGAACCTTGCGACTCGTTTTTATAGTTGTTGACAATCGATTACCATAAAATTAGAGAGACGTTACTGTATTGTGCAAATTGAATTGTATAATATATTGTTAATTGTATAATATATATAATATATGTTATATAATATTGTTACTAGGATTTGTAGAATACGAAATAACAGATCCAATATTTCTGCTACGATAAATTTTCACTTTCTAGCTTCGGTGTCGTTGATTAAATGACTTTGATATCGCCTGAATTTTTCGAGCTAATATTCGGCACTTAATTGTGCTAAGTAAGGTAAAATTTAGCTTACAATAGACGCATAGGTTTCTTATTTTCGATAAGAATCANGGAGATACGATTCTTCGAGTCTTACAACTCGTTTTCATAATCGTCGACAATTGATAACTATAAAAACGAATCGCAAAATCCCAAATTGTCCATTTTTATGCACAATCTGAGCGTCAGTTGGGTAGACATTGCTGTACCTCGAAAACAATAGCACCCCGAAACTCGCCGAGCCTCGAGAACTCGCTGTAAAACGCAAATGCGCAACTTTCCATCCACCTGTCATTTTTTTCATCGATGAGTAAGCCGAGTTAGAATATCGGATTAAACGAGCGATAACGTCGTGAGAATCCGTTGACGACGACAGAAAGTCGGGGAATCGGTTTATGGCATGATTTTAATCTTCAATCAAGTTTGACTCATCATCGAATTTACTGCCAACGTTACCGTCGTCGATGTTCCCGTGAAAAAAAAGAAAAGAAAAGAAAAAGAAACGAACGTCACGGACGTCTCTCTCGTTCGGTAATATTCCAAACAAAGAGATTCCGAACAAGTCGAAAATCGTTGCGTTCGATTAATTAGCCAGAACGATAAATTCCAAATCAGTTGCGATCGTCGCGTAATTCTTTTTTTTTCGATCGACATCAGGCGCCATTGAACAACGTTCGTTCGTAATAATATTGACTGATAGAGGCCAGACGAAGCCGAGAGCCGCGAATACTTGACGCTTTATCCGTGCATCGGACGGGGACAGAAGGTTTGAAAACAACGATGACATCTCTCGAGGAGGGAAGATACGGTCTCGCGTACGTCACTGATAAGACGTTACGTCGACGATTAGGTGCGTCGCGCGACGCATTTAACTGGTTGCGGGGAACTCCATACCTACGTTGCTATGTGCCTGACAGCTGACGATATCGTACAGTTTACTGTGTGCGAAAGACTCGACGTGCCTCGTTTTTCCCTTAAACAGGTCTCTCGACGAATTTATAATATACACGGTAATGTCTGTCCAATTGACGCTCGGATTGTCCACGAAAATGCGACAATTTGGGGAGAGGAGATACGATTGTTCGAACCTTGCGACTCGTTTTTATAGTTGTTGACAATCGATTACCATAAAATTAGAGAGACGTTACTGTATTGTGCAAATTGAATTGTATAATATATTGTTAATTGTATAATATATATAATATATGTTATATAATATTGTTACTAGGATTTGTAGAATACGAAATAACAGATCCAATATTTCTGCTACGATAAATTTTCACTTTCTAGCTTCGGTGTCGTTGATTAAATGACTTTGATATCGCCTGAATTTTTCGAGCTAATATTCGGCACTTAATTGTGCTAAGTAAGGTAAAATTTAGCTTACAATAGACGCATAGGTTTCTTATTTTCGATAAGAATCAGCCGAGAGACTCGACGTGCCTCGTTTTTCGCTTAAACAGGTCGCTCGTCGAATTTATGCATTTATGGTAAAAAGTGACGCAAAAGTTACAAGAAACTTTGAACGATGATATATCGATTTCAACGTATTGAAATCAATTAAGTCAGATAAAATTTGGATTGCAATAGACGCATACATTCCTTATTTCAGATAAGAATCGGGCAATCTACTCATCGCACGTTCTGCTATCTTCCAGCGTATCTAAAACGTCCTCCACCGATAATCATAAGAAGCGAAAAGCGATTCATCATTGTTCTTACATTCTTTTAATTTTTCACCGTTTCGAATCAACATGAAAGTGAATGCAGTCCGAAAACACTGGTTTCGGTGCTCTCGTACGTCGCAGATCTTTAAGCGAGAAGTACAAATCTCTTACCTTCATTGCAACAAATTGCAGTAAAGAAGTAACAAACAATTTTTTAAAAATATTTTCACCGTTTTCCGTTTCTCTTATCCACTTTTATTACAACTGTTTATTATAAATTATTATTTATTATAAAAGTTATTATTAAGAAAGTTACTATTTATTATAAAGTTTTATTATAATTTTGAAAACTCTGTCCGACAATTTTTATGTTAAAAATACACACTGTGCAATAATAATAACAAGGTCAAACAAGTATATTAAACCCGAAGTGGACAATCTATGGTAGCATAAATGTCTCACTATAGTGGCTCAAGACTAGAAATCGAATCAAATATACAGAGTGTCCCAGAAAGTTTTGAATCGCTTAGAAGATCTGATTCCTGAGTTGATTTGTAAAAACTTTTTCCTCAGCGAAAACGTTGGTCGGGGCTTTGTTACTGAATTATTAACGAAAACCGGGAACCAATCCGAGCGCGAATACAGCAGGCGAATG